ATGGGGAAAAACGAAACAATCAGCTGTTTCTCAAATTGTGTTTTTTTCGCGTTGCCAGACCACTCTGGCATTTTTGAGAGCAAATTTTTCGGTATTTGCACTGCATGAATTCTTATTGGAAATTTATTAATCGTCTTAAGACGTGGCAATATTCCCATCTTTTCCACGCAATTCGCTGTCAAATTGAGATAGAGAAATTTTATTTCCGCGTGTGTACCAGAAAAACCTTTATGGCACATTTCGGATATCAGTTTCAGAAATAAAAGTTGCAATCGAAAGACAGAAGTTTACTTCGAAAATCCATTTAAACTTGCTCGTACTGCAGTAGCAATTTTGTATTTCTGCTGCACGTTTGTTGCCATGTGACACTGAACACGAGTTTGTGAGAAATAATAACGCTTAATTATGTTTCCCTGCAATTCGGCTTTCGTTAACCAAAAATCTCTTTCGAAAGACACTTTAAATGAAACTGCTTTCTGATATTTCTAGTTTTGACAGCCTTTTCGAAATATAATGAGGCGTATTCTGGTGGTCGTACGAATCGAAAATTTGAAATTTTTGAGTACAAAATGATAGGAAAATTTCATGATTTTCGATTCGTACGAAACCCAGATTACGCCCCAAACCATTGCCCCGCGTCTGACACGCTCTTTAGAATTTGAGATGCAGCATTTTAGGTATTTTTTACAGCGCATTCCCTTGGCTCTTCGAAATGTAACTTTATCCTTGGGCTATGAGAAACGCTAAGAAAACCTAGTGCAAATTCAACGCATTTAAATTTTTTAATTCTTCTATTATGTACCTTATTTAAGTAACTGCTGAGAAGCAGGCGAATATGTAGTTAAGTAGTAATACATACTTGATTTAATTAATTAAGTGCCAGTTTTTCAGTTCGAGTTTAAACTTAGATTAAGTAGACTGAGTTTAAATTGAACAGCTGGCTGACATTTGATTGGCTGATTTTAGTTTAAACCAGCCAGATCGGGCGAAAAACTGGCCCTAATTAGCACATTTTTTTATACAAAGTCAAAGGTTTGTTACAGAAAAAAATAGTTATTCATAATTTAACTACAATTAAATTTAAAATCAACAGTATAAAATTATTTACTCAGTCGTTTAAAGTTGCAGACTCAAAATATATAACAGTTTTAAGTGAATTCATGCAATTACCCGCCTGTTATACCCGCCATATAGATATTTAGCACATCTGGGTTTGCGTGTACAAATTTTTTGCGCTTGGGTATGGGCTGTATGTTTGGTAGGCGTGTACCATTTAATGCATTTGGACTAGGCACATACTCATCGTCATCATCATCAGCATCTGTATCATCTGCCACCACATGTCTACGTTTTCGGGCTGCCGCCGCCGCCGCTGCCGCCGCACTAGTGGATGGCCCTTCGTCAAGTGTTGATTGTGAGGTACTATGTTGCTCTTCACTGGCTCCTGTTGTCGTTGTGGTTGTTGTACTTTTCTTTGCCGCTTGCAATGCCCGTTGCTGTCGGCTGGTAATGGTTTCTTCTTGATCTGTAACTGATGAGGATAACTCCAAAGATCTTTGCGTTTTTTTTAGTTCTTCGGCTCGCTTAAGCTTCTCCAAATATATTCTCTTCAACCCCTCGGCACATTTTTTACAAACCGGCTCTTCAGCGCGAAAATCAATCCGTCGTTTGCGCACGAATTCTATAAGCCTGGGATCCTTAATAGTAGTGCTGGGCTGCTGCAGTTTATGATTATCGTCTGCTACCGCACACTTGATTCCACGTATTCGCACCATTTGGAATTATATGTTTAATACAAGAAAAGTCCATCAAATTAAGCACGCATCAACAAAACAAAACAAAATAAAATTTGAGTTGTGATTGCAATAATTTAGAGATGTGCACAACTATTATCGAAAAGTGCACAGCTGAGAGTAGTGTTGTCAAATTGCATAATTGTACACACCAAGCCTTATTCATATAAGGTAGCAGGCAGTAGCACAAGGAGTATTCACACAAGGTGATTGAAACAACACAAAAACTGTCGCATGAATTTTGTGTTATGGGAGTTATGTCAAAATCTCAATTCGCCTAAAAGGTTAGGGGAATTGAAGTTCCTGCCAACCAACCCAAATCTCAAAAAAAAAAAACAAATTTAATAAGGTGGTGTTATCCGTATACAAGTGAAAAATGACATTAACATTTTGTACGCACAATGACAGTTTGAATTACAACAAACACATCATTTTGACATTATTTTCTCCACGGCGTAAAATTCAGATTCACCGGTAACATCACCTTATTAAATTCGCCTTGCATTTTGTTTGGCCATGCATGGCTTTCGGTTCTAGAATAATTAAAATCAGCAAACACAATTTTTTTATATAATATCACTCTGTAATGCGATACGAAAGAGTAGTGCGATGCGATAGGCAAATATATCGTAAGTAATAAGCTGTGCAATTGCCGATCGCATCACATTACAGAGTAGCCCCCCTGCTAATGAGGAGGTCTTAGCATTATGCTGTTCGTCTTTTAGCAATCAGTTTTTTTTAATTAAAATATATTAAAAAACATATATTTTTAGTTTTAAAACAATTAGGTTGTTTACAGTTGCTTGGTTATCAGGTTATCTGGTTAAAAATTATTATTCTGTAGTGTATTTTATCGTTGTAAACTGAACAAAAAATATAATCACATAACCAGATAACCTCCTAACCAAGCAGGTGTGAACAACCTTAAAAAAAAAATTAATAAAAAAAGAAAACTAAATTTGATAAAGAAAAAGTGGAACAGTACTTAAAAATTAAATTAGATTAAAAATATTTTACTAAAGACAAGCACAATTGAAAACAAGTAATTTTTAAGCAAAAAACAAAACCGAATTCAATTCTCATATAAAAAGACCAGATTAATATGGGAGCACCTCTGAGACCCTACCTTTCCGATGCAAAAAGAATTAACGAAATCGGTTGACGTGGTCGAAAGTTATGCGGCAACATACATAAAAACAATATTCCGACGAACTCATAACCTCCTCCTTTTTTAAATTTATAAGATCCTAACAATGAAATGCTTTTCTTTTTAAAACAATAAAATTTCTTTTTTACATCATAAAATCTAAAAATACTCTGAAAACCTAAATTTAAAAAATATAATTTGATTAAAAAAGTTTTCAAAAATTCCGCCGTGCCAGGACCCGAACACGGATCTCTCGATTGGCACGCTTGTGCTCGGCCATTGCGACTGCTGGGGGCTCCTCTTGTAAAGCGATGCGAAAGAGAAATGCAATGCGATAAGCAATTGCACAGCGTATTACTTACGACATATTTGCCTATCGCATCGCATTCCTGTTTCGTATCGCGTTACAGAATGGCCCCCCTGGAGTGACGCGAGCTAAATGGTATACAAGTGCTTTCTCTCAATACAACTTTCAATCACGAGTGGTAAATGAGAGAGTTGTTTTTCTAAGACTTGTGCTGGAATAACAAAAGTCTTTCGAACTATCTTGCCACCTGTCTTTCATTTGTCTTACGAAATACTTCTTACTATCTTAGCCAGAATTGGCCTGTATGTATGCGTATCAGTCCAACGTCAATCCGCAATTTTCTCGGAGTGAGATGGACGAGGTAAACTCGCACCTCTCTCCCCCTCTTGCCAATACAAAACCGGTTTTAAGTCGTCTGAGCAGTCCAGTGTGCGAGAGTCTTTGGGCCACAAAACTGAATACCTACTCAAAAAAATTCTGAGAAGTTTGAAATTTTTATGATTCTTTTAAATTTCTACAATGTTTGAGTTTATATCAAATAATATAGATAGCTATGTTCTATATTTTTGATTTTTTTGGTTCGAGAATGTGTTGTATGTATTTTAATTCCAAAATAATGATAATTAAATAAAAGAAAAATGGCACAGAAAAAAGCCTTACCCTTAGTCAATTGCATGTGTAACTGCCTCCCTTAACTCACAGCTACTCACATCCTTGGGCCACACTTGACTAAATAATTAAAGCTTATGATTATGTAGTTTCTTTCATTTTTCTTTTAATTTATGTTTTTTGTTTTTCTTGTGTTTTTTTTTTTCAATAAGATAATATCATGTTCATTTGAATTTTCATGCCCATGTTCATGTTGGTTGTTCTTGCTGATTTTGTATCCTTTGCTCTGTTAGTTAATAATTTTTTTGTTTTTGTTTATCAATAGTATTTTCCTTCTTGAATGGTTTGCAACTGCACTGAGCACTGCTTTAAGCTAGCAAGCTGATGTCTACCTCAAACTTATCATCTTTTTCTCATTTTTACAAACCATATAACTTACTGCCAACACACTCCTTGCTTGTTTTTTAAAATATCTTGCAAATAGTTGTATTAATATTACATGCTGTTGTAGATGCGGTTGTTTTTGTTGCAGTATCTGTTGAGGATGTATCAATAACTTAAATAATAATCTCAATCTCAAACGTTACGTCGCATCAGGTGGCTGACGGAACCCACAGATGCAGGATGTTGTCAGGCATCACCGGCGCTGCCTACTGAGACTCCAACCCCACCACTGCCAGATGCAGCAGGTCCACCCTTCGGTGTGTACACAGTCGCATTCGGGTCAAGACTGGAGCCGCTGCTGCCGCCACCAGCGCTGCCACCACCCGGTGAGGACGCCGACACAAATACAGTTGGGCCCACTGATACGGGCACTTGCTGCTGCTGTTGCTGTTGTTGTTGTTGCTGGTGTTGATGATGCTGCTGGTGTTGCTGATGCTGATGCTGCTGATGCTGTTGATGTTGCTGATGTTGCTGTTGATTCAATTGCTGATGTTGCTGTTGATTCAACTGCTGATGTTGCTGTTGATTCAATTGCTGATGTTGCTGTTGATTCAATTGCTGTTGTTGCTGCTGATGCTGAAGTTGCTGTTGCTGTTGATGGAGCTGCTGCTGGTGCTGTTGTTGCTGCTGGTGTTGATGTTGATGCTGAGCCGTTACATAATCGGGCGGCGCTTGCTGCATACCATAGTCGGCTACAGAATTCGGTGGACCCCCGCGTGCTGATAGCGGATGACCAGCTGCCGCGGCTACTGCTGATGCAGCCGCCGCCGCGGCTTGATGTGCAGCTGCTGCAGCACTGAGGCTGCTCAGCATAGGCGATGCAGGCCCGGGACCTGTCTGCAGCGGTGGCGTATCATTCATACGTAACATAGAACTCGCGCTGGCTGAGCCGCAGGCAGGCAGCAGTTGATCTGTAGGCATAACGCAGAGCAGTTGAGCTATTTTTGCCTTTAAATCAAGCACTTCATCCTCCTTGGAGCGACGGCGACCTATAAAATTGAGACGTGACTGATAAAACCATACTACGGCAGACAATGTGCAACCTACTTTCCGATATCTCCAGTTGCCGTTTGGCGTCGCCCAGAGCTGAGAATAAGTCCAGCTTAACTCTCGTCTCGGCCGAAAGATTCTTTTCAAGCGTACAGTTTTTATCCTGCATCGCGGCTAATGCATTCATCAGCATCTCAGTGCCAGGCTGCGCTGAATCGCGATTACGTATCTCAGCCTCAAACATACGCAACTGAAAAAAAAAACAGATATAATTAAGTTTTAATTGTTGGAACATTTATAACACAACGTCGCAAACCTCCTGCTCCCATTTGCGGCCGTGCTGCTCCGCCATCTGCTTTGCTTCTTCGGCTGATTTCAGATCGCGTCGCAGCTGCTTAAGCTCTTCGTCTATTTGCTGTTTGCGTTGCTTGCACTGTGCACTACATTCCGGGCGGGCTGCTTTTTCTTCGGCATTTTTGCGGGCTTTCTTCTCGTTATTTAATTGTGCGTCCAGCGATTGCTTTTGGCGACGCTCCTCTGCCAAACGTCGCTCGATAGTCTGCAGTTGCAACATATCGGCGTGCCGGCCATTCGTGAGCTCCTGTATGCGTTTCTCGAGCTCGTCACACTCTTTCTGTTTGGCCTGCAAACAGGATTTCGTAGTCAAATTTGACTCGAGCTTCTGACGCAGTTCATTTTCAATTTGTTTCATGTGACTCAATTCCGTGCGGTACTTCTTGACGTCCGCTTCCAGTTTGAGACATGATTCACAGATTTTTGAGACCACTTTTGAGGCTATATGCGAGATGGTGGACGAGGCTGAAGCAGACGCTCCAGATGAGGATGAAGATGATGTGGAACTGGCTGATGAGGTGGATGAGGAGACCGATGAGGCATCGGAGTTGTTGTTATTGTTATTATTGCTAGTACCATTATGGTTTTGTGTTGCTGTAGCATCCTTGTTGTTGTTCTGTTGATGATGATTGTGCGAGTGAGAATTGGAGTTATTCGCATTGTTGCTATTGTTATGCGAATTATTGTGGTGATTGTCCTTGGAAGCATTATCTTTGCGTGCACGGTTGCGACGTCCTGCAGAAGGGAAATTAAAATAGTGGTTCGGATAATTTTGTAATATAACTGTTAACCAAACCTTTAGTGCGTTCGACTGGTTCTACGGTAACAGCATCATCGACGTCATACTGCAAAACATTACCATTCGCCACCGTTGACGCCGCGCCGGAAGCGGTATGTGAGTTCGATTTTTTCGACGTGCGATGATCATCTGTATGGACAATTAGAAAAATACGCATATCAGTTATGTCTATTCACACACTCTGGCGGTCAGCTCACCACTTTTCTCCTTCGTTTGCTGCTGGTGCGTTGAATTCGCCTGACAATTACTGCTTGTTTCCCAATCACTACGGTCTTTACCAGAGCTATTATTGTTGCTGTTGCCACTATCAGCAGCTGGATAGCTATTGTTGTTGTTGCTCTTGTTATGTTTGGAATCCGCATCGCCACCACCGCCGCCGCTTCTACTTTTATTCTCTTTGTCCATACTGCGACGGTGGCTCTTGCCGCCAATGTGGCCATTGGATGTGGCTGGAAAAGAACGAGTTTATAAAATGTAGTGTGGGCATAAAAAAGCGAGGTTAAAACTGCCTCTAGAATGAAAAGCTACTTATTTACACAATATCAGCTAGAATAGTGTAGGTGATTAAAGAAATTTTATAGCTTAATGTTCAACATCAGTGAAATATTAAATTGTTAAAAATGCCAATACCTAAAATGCTTATGTAGGCATATACTCGTAGTATATGTAAGTAAACAGTCAGTTGCGTAATACATTTGTACATAAATACAATAATTGAGCGCTTACACTTTGCAAAGTGTTTGGCCGAGCTTCTTCTCCAATTTGTGGTGTACACCTTGACGTTGTTACACAAATGGGGGGACCTACAGTTTTTTGGCGCTTCCGAACGGCAAATGAATTTTAAGAGAAGCTCTTTCATGGCAGAAATACACTCTCGAGGTTTGCCATCGCTGTTAAAAAAACTTTTTCTGATTTAGATGTTGGGAAATACATAGCTGATGTTAATATACAAGCAAATAGAGATTCTTAAAAGCAAGGCCAGTATATGTAATTTAAGCTTTCTATAAAAATGCTCTACAGTAAAGTAACGATTAAAACATTATTGGCGACGTATTTATGTTTTTAAGACATGAAAATTTAGGAAAAGTTGACTGGTTTTTTCAATAGAAGCATCTGTCGCAAATAACTTAAGCAATCGAATAGACAAAATAAAATTCTAAAAAACCATTTTATGATACCATACATATTATTCATACTAGGGCTGTGCGATTAATTGATTACTCAAAATTTTAATTAATCATAAAGTAAATAACTCAATTATTCGATTAATTGGAAATTATGATTACTCAAAAGTTCAGTTACTCGAGTAATCAAGATTTTTGATTAACCAAAAACAAAAATATTTGAGTAATTTGCTTTATGATTAATCAACATTTCGAGTAAAATGAGTAATCAACATTTCAACTCTCTACATATGTATAAAGTAGCTAAAGTTCCTTGATACTTTGAAAACAACGTTTCTTAAAACAAAAAATTTTTTTCATATACAGAATGTAAAAAAGAAAATAAGCATTTTCCAAAGCAAACTCTTTTAACGAGCAAAATTATTTTTTTTGAGTAATCATATTTCAAGTAACTCGATTAATTATCGTTTTGAGTAATCAAAATCTTGATTACTCGAGTAATTGATTAACCGAATAATTGATTAACCAACTTGCTCGAGTAATCGAATAATCGCACAGCCCTAATTCATACGTATGGATATATAACTAAAGTACTGTATGCATGGATGTATTTATATATGTACAATTTCGCGTTATGAGTAGAAGCTATACATATTTCAACATTACCACCACTACTACCACCACCAAAACCAGCGTTATTGCTGTTAGTAGTTGCTGCTGCTGCTATGGATGCACCACCGCTACTGCCGCCGCCACTTTGAATTTGTAAGTAATTTTTATCATCGCCAAGTGTCGCAGATGCACCACTAACACCTGTGCCAGTTGACGCGTTCGCCGCTGCTGCTGCCACGCTAGCCAATATACTGCTTATATTATAATTGCCACCGCTGCCAACCCCACTATTACTACCAATACCACCACCTGTTCCACCAATACTATTGGCATTACTGTGGTTGTTGTGATGATCGTGCGGTGACGATGTCGACGTTTGATTGTGATTATGATGATACTGCTGCTGCTGATGATGATTATGATTTTGTTGTTGATGCTGGTGATGATGATTTTGTGCTTGCGTACTCGTACTACTGCTAGTACACGTCGCTGCCGCTGCCGCCGCTGCTGCTGTCGCTGATGCAAGCAAGCCATTTGCCGTGGCGAGCGCGCTGCAAGCAGCTGATGTGGTTGCATTTGCAGTTGCAGAGTTGCTGGATGCATTAAATGCGTTGCTGATTGCCGCCGTCACTGTCGATGCATGGGAAGAAGCGGAGGAGTTTTGTGCAGTTTGCGCCGCAGACGCACCACTGCTGCTACTGTAAGGACCAGCGGCTACCGCCGGCACAGTGGTACCAGTTACAGGTGACAATTGCGTTGCCGCTGGATCGTCTGTTGTTTCCTCTGGTGGCAGGGCTTGTTGCAATAGTTGCATATAAAATTCATTCTCTTTCGAAACTTCACGTTGCTTACGCTGTCGCATTCGATAGCCAATGTAGCTTTTGAAGCCAAAGCCCAGCGTCACCACCGGATAACCAATACTGGGTAGGGGGAGAGAAGAAATTTTAATGAGTTCTTAAAAGAAAGAGACAAGCCTGCCAGATAAAGCATACCAGTGCGCGGCAAATGGACGACATAGGTCTAAATGTGGCATATGACGTGCATCCTTCCATCTGATGCCTGCTTCTAGATAGACGAAGAGCATCCAAAGTATTATTGTTGGCAAACAAATGCCTTTGTCTGCGGAGTGAAAAAGAGAAACATTTGGTTAAAATCAAATAATAGTAGTTGAATGGGATTGCAAAATTGTTATGCAACTTTGTATATAAGTGTATACATATGTAAGTATGTAAGAATTCGATTTTCTCATGAAAGTCATCAATATTTTTCATTCGAAATATTTGCCAAGCATTCGAATAATTTCGTGTTTTTTATATTACCTGTGTGCCATACATACTGCACCCAGACGTAAGTGCTCGCTGCGAATAGCAACCAGTGCACTGGTATAAAAAACAAACACACCAAATCGGATGTTATTGCAATGCATACGAATAACACAGAAAATGCCTAAAAGGAGAAAATGTGTTTTTTTTGTTAAATATGCTAGATTTGAAAGATGAGCATATTGGTGCATACATACATATATTTTGACAAGGTTAAGTTTAAATCAGTATTTACTTAGAAAATTATATTTATCTCATTTTTCTGCTTTTGATTATTTTTTTACTTACTATTACTGTTATTTTATTGATTACATTTTATTGATTATATTTTATTTTTTTAATTTATTTTTTGTTTGTAATTTTTAATTCTTGCTACATTTTGTTATTTACAATTTTCTTCTGACTCTTTTGTTTTACTTGACATAATTTTCTTTTTTTATCTTTAATTAATGATTTTAATTTTCAATTAACTTTTTTGTGATTTTTTTGTAAAATAAATCAGGTTGTTGATTTAACAATACATTCTAATTTTTAATTATTTGTATTTCTTATAAATTTTTTATTATTTTATTTTTTATTTTTCTGTCACACTTACCAAGCCTTTATATTTAAATGAGTCATGCACCGACCGTAAAAGTAGCCAAAAAGGCCATAAAAATTCAAAACGAAACATAAACATAAAATCGGCGGTTATCACAATGGCCCAAAGTACAAGGAATTTCATGTACAGGACAGTTGCGCTGAAAAGAGAAGCGAGATTATTAAATTGTTTTCAGGATAAAGTAGCTGTGTTTTCTTAAATTGCGAGAATAAAATTGAACAGATCGAGATTAGCGGAACGTTTGTTGAACCATTTCACATAGTTAAAAAATATAAGAACTGAAATAAAAGGTTAAAAGGTTGTAAAAGTATAATTTGGGACTTCAAAAGATTATCATAATGCAGATTATTTTATTACTCCTTTCTAGCTAAGTACCCAAAAATAATTACATACATATTATAACGTATACATTAGATAAATAATTTTCTATACGATCTTTTTTTATTAAAAATTCCCTCAGCTCTGGCAAAAATTATATTTAATTAACAATTAGGTGTTTTAATCGCATCATATTATTTACAAGCTGTAATCCAATTTGTTTAAACGTTAAACAGCAACCAAATACGTCCACGCGAGTTCGCAAGATGAGGGTAATGGTAATCATTATTGTCAAATACCGCTATAAAAGCGACTAAGAAACAACAAACATAGAAATCTAAATAGAATCGTATGGGTATGGTAGCACCTAGTAGCGGCTATCGGTCAGCTGGAGGCGCGATCATTGGATTGCGCTGCGCTAAATAAATCAAATTCAATTAAGCGCTCGTCGCCAGAAGCGTACATACCAACACACACACACACACACATATACATGTACCAACTATATGGGCATGTTCAATTTGTTTGCAATACGCCAAGTACTCAAACAAATAAAATAAAAATAAAATGTATTATAACAACAAATATGCGTATAGCGTAGATAAACAAAGAAATTAAAAAAAGAATAAATAGAATGTAAACAAGAAGCTAACCAACAATGCGCTTGTTTGTGTTAAGCGTTTGCATTTGTGCGTACAAGCGTGTGGGTATTTTTTTTGTACGATGCCTGCATACAGCTGACGGATTTTCAAATTGTATATGGTTTTGCTTGATTAATGATTAGATCGAAATAAAAGAGCTCGAACGGGAGTAAAGGAACGCAATTTTAAATTTTCGGTACCTAAATTTTTTGTTCTCAAGTGTGATATCTTTTCTTAGCAAAGTCCTATTAGAAGCGAAAAGTTCATCGGGCTTGCACTAAAATGCAGATAAGTAAGTCCTAAGAGTTTATAAAGTCATAGAGGGTTGCTCTTAAAGAGTTCACTCATGGGTAAAAGATGGCCGGTGTGATTGGGAAGATTTCCATTTTTTCCAATGTTTTCCGGTCTTTCCATTTTTACGGCGGCTAAGAGGTTGTTTTTCTTGTTGCAGTGGCCTACTTCACTATGCCCGTTGTCGTCAAGCTCAACTAATGATAGGCAAAGGAAAGGTGCTGTTTCGACGGGGTCGGGCCAAAGGGGAAAAGGGGTTTTAGTTGAGTTGGTATATGAAGAGGATAGCTACGTCGGGATCCAGTCTAGAAAAGTAAGAGTTTAATCTCCTACAATATTCAAACCCTACCGATCGATAGAAGCAGTTTAGAGATGCAAGTTATTGCGAAAAAGATATATTCAGTTCTTTAGTGTGACCCATCTAATAAAAGGGAACAAAGCGAATTGCCACTGTCTTCTGGGTATACATTTCAGTAAAGTTAGGAAGCCGACTTATGCATAGGTATCAGAGATGGTCTTCTAAAAATATAAAGATTTTTTTATTGCGATTTCCCGAAATTCTAGTACGTAAGATGTTTAAAAATAAAAACACTAGCAGACCTTTCAAAATTTACAGATAAACTATTCAAATCTATTCTAATTTCGATAACAAAAGAAGTTTCAATTTTAACCCAATTTCAGTACACAGGTTTAAACAAACAGCATCTACTCACCTGCCATACATGCCCTCTGTAATTTTATTACGCTTTATTGGTCGCCGTAGTTTGCCACAATCGGCATTGCGTCGCTTCATCTTGTCTTAGCCGTAAAAATTCAAAATTTATAAACTTCTGCTGCTGCTACTGCTGGTATTCAATTCAAATTCTTTTTCAAATTTCTATACTATATTTGAGTTAAGTTACTTTATACGCGAATTTATGGCTGCATCTGCATTACCAACAACACGCTGTGCCACAGGCACACTCGCACAGCAAAAGCAAGGCAATTTGTATCGCAAGTTTTTTGAGTGGATAATGCTTTGGGAGTGTGACGGAGCCTATCTACTGATGACTGCTCTCACCCAACTGCCTTTCTGCTGGCTGACACTGCACTGGATTCTATTGCGTGCAATGACGCGCGCTAGTTTTCACTGTCTCGCCCCTCTACTTTTTCTTCAAAAAGCTTAGTTTTTTTATTTTTTGCTCCGTACTCCTTGCAATTTATACAATTTTCGAATTCGTACACAAAAACCAACTGCTCGTGTTGCGTATTTGGCGAATTCTAAACGTTTTTGTAGTTGCTGTTGTTTGCGTCGCCGTCGTCGTCGTCTATTTATAGTTGAGTTTACAAATATGTTGCTCGAAATGTTCCAATAGCTGTTGCGCCTATTGACCGCTGATGAAACGTCATTTTCTCTGCAGCGACGATGGCTGTTAGTGAGGCTGCTGACGGACGCTGCTGTCAGTTCGTTGCGCGAAATTCCAATGCAACTGACAAGTGTCAGAGTTGTGCTCTTCACCTTCTGTGACCAAAACAAGCAGCAGCTACTTATGGACGCACGCGTCGGCTATGCAAAGCGTTTTTGCTGTGTACGGCGCGCGCACGAATTTTTGGTAGGCAGTCGTTTGTCTATTTAGATACTTCTCTCCTCTCCTTGGCTCACTTGTGGTTTCTTCTAAAATTTATTTTTCACTTTTCGTTTTTGTTTCTCCTCCTATTTTTTTACTTCTTTTTGAAAAACTGCCATACGGTGTTTTCGCTTAAAATTCGTCTTCTCGTCGATTCAAATTTCAATTTGCTGCTGTCTATCGCTGCAAAATCAAAAAGTAAATAAATTAGATCTTTTGCATATTAGGATAAAATGCATGCAAATTGTCGTTTCAATGGCAAGAAACTAAAAATTTGTTGAAAGATGATCGGAATTTTTCAAAAATAGAATTGATACATCTAAATATATCTTGTTACTTTTTGGATGCTCAATTGCAAATCTAAACCTTTGGATTTCAAAAACTTTGTTCCTCGAACGCGTGCTGCAGGCAGAGTCACAAAATTTTTCATCAAGAACCGGGGCGCGAATCGACACGAAATTTAATTTTAAGATCACGGCATTTGAAAGCCTCATTTATTGAAGCTCGAATACACCTTATTCAGTATCAGTATTCAAATATCGAGTTTTGAACTGTCGAAATTTCTATAAGTAAATACCAATTTCGAGTTTAGGGGGTCAGAGAGAATTAACAGAGGTAAATTGAGGCAGCTTTGAGACAAAGAAATAATACAGTAGAGGAGGTGACATCTCCTAGTGTGAACCCCTGTTTTCTGCGTTTCGATGTTTGATCTCGAAATGGCGCTATCGAACGTCTGTAAAAATGAGGAATGACTATTAAAAACTAGTATAACTACGGTGACCATCCGTTCTGTTTTTTGCAGGACCGTACTGTTTTTCAAAGGTCGGTCCTGCGTAGTTTTTCAAACCTGAAAATGTACTGATGTTTTCCAAGTGTCCTGCATTTGTCCCGCATTTTATTCGTTATTTTAAAATTATCGGACAATGGATGGATTTTTTTCAAAATAGTGGTTTTTGATACTTTTCATAGCTTTTCTTCAATATCTCATGAAAAAATCTCCAAATCAACGTAAGCGACTTACAACTCGAAGGGTGTTGATGTGTCTCTTACCAAAATATATAACTTGTGCCGACTTCAATGAAAGTTATTAGTGCTACAGGCGACCATCCGTCAAATCAAAGTCAGTCAAAGTCGAAAAAGTGAGATTTTCAATCAAATACGCAGTTTCATTTGATTATTTTTTTTTCATTATTTTAAAAATTCGATAAAGAAGATATGAGCCAAAGATAATGAAAATCGGATTAGAAATGTAGATGCTATGGAGCGCAATCTGCACAAATTATATATTTTTGTAACTTGTAACTCGTCGTTTACGTCGATTCCTGACGTCGATTTTTGACTGCGGAAAGTACCAAAAAAAAAAAAAAAAAAAAGAAGGGTATTGTTTTCGTTTTGAACGACTCAAAATCTATATATATAAAATTAAGTGGCAAAACTTCCTGTTCGCATACTCCTCCTAGACGGCTTGCCCGATATCAAAGAAATTTTCAGGGGTGATTGGGGTCTGTGTGGAGGGTGCACATAAGAAATTTCATGTGTGTATCTTTGCACGTTTTGCAAAAACAAAAAAAAAAAATTAATTCTGTTTGGCTTTACGTGTTTTTTTCGGATTTCTATCATTCCTAGACGGCTAGCCCGATTTCAATGAAATTTTCAGGGGTGATTGGGGTCTGTGTGGAGGGTGCACATAAAATGAAATTTTCAGAAGTGATTGGGGTCTGTGTGGAGGGTGCACATAAGAGATTTCTATCATTCCTAGAGGGCTTGCCCGATTTCAATGAAATTTTCAGGGGTGATTGGGGTCTGTGTGGAGGGTGCACATAAAATGAAAATTTCAGAAGTGATTGGGGTCTGTGTGGAGGGTGCACATAAGAAATTGAATGTTTGTATCATTGCACGTTTTGCAATTAATTCTGTTTGGCTTTACGTGTTTTTTTGGATTTTTATTATTGTTTTGCCGCAAGATTGGCAATCCTGCCTTTTACTAATAAATAAACAGAAACAGCTGGCGAATGTTTACAATTATTAAAAAATATTGACAACAATTTAATTTATAATCTTATAACTGGAGTCTACTATCGCACCCTTTCCTCAAACGTGTATTAATTCAATATTCAAATAACTTATATTTATATAATTTGAAAAAATCTCCCTACTATACAAATATGTACAGCAATATTAACTAACTAGCGAATACCCGGCGTGCTTCGCTGCGCCTTAAAAGTAATTTTGTTTTGTTACTCCCTCTCACAACATTTGAAAATATTAGTTAATACTGCTGTACATATTTGTATAGTAGGGAGATTTTTTCAAATTATATAAATATACGTTATTTGAATATTGAATCAATACACGTTTGAGGAAAGGGTGCGATAGTAGACTCCAGTGCTTCATAGATCGATATTTTTTAAATCTAACTTCATAAAGTTCTTTAAAAATATTTTGTAAATGAGGCCATAAGAGCTTAGGGGGAGAGTTACAACACAAAAATACATTTAAGGCGCAGCGAAGCACGCCGGGTAATTGCTAGTTTACCTATAAAATAATCTTTTAAAGATTTTCACTTTTCGTGTAAGCTATTGTAATTATAATATGTTTTACTATCCTTTTATAAATATTCATGTAAAAAATAATAATAAGTGATTAATTTTTAAAGTTTAAAATGTATTTTTTTGATATATTTATACTACGTACATATATGTAGGCATATTTTTGAAAAATTGTGCTTCATTTTGAATCTATATTTATGGTCACCGTAAGTATAACGCAATTATTGTCATAAACAGTGCCAGACAAAAGTATTGGCACACAAATTTTTCGCAATGCATGCAAAGTTTTTTACTCTAATTTCTTATCGCAAATTTTGTATGAAAATATAGTTCATATACATACTACAACAAAAAACTGTGTGCAAAACTCAGGAAAACACAATAAATTTGCAGCTTCCAAATCAGATTCTAATGCCGAATTTCCACTAGGCATTGAAATGACAAAAAATGAACGCCGTTTAAAAAAATGCCATGTGGAAATGAACTTAATTAAAAGATTTTTGAATGTAATGGCATCATTATTTTCGAATGCCCGACTTTGTCATTTGTCATTTTTACCATTTAATGCCTAGCGGAAATCCAGCATAAGTATGCAGTTTAACATCCCATTAAATTTTAGTATAACAAAGTGCAAGTTTGAGGTGGAAAAAACGTAGTTGATTTGTGGCAATTTGTTTTTTTGCTGACGGTGTTATTTTCTTCCATATAAAGAAAGTTTGTAGAACATACTTTATAGGGAAGAAGCTGTGTGAAAAAAATTGCCAAAAATAACCATGATTTTTTAGCAACTTCAAACTTGCCTTTGTTATACTAAAATTGAATGGGATATAGAACTGCATACTTAGAATTTTAAAGTAGTATATTATGTAGTCTACAAAATTTTTGAATTTTCCTGAGTTTTGCACACAGTTTAGAGTTAGATATTCCATTGGCATGGAATCGAGGTGTTTCAGCATCAGGATGCTAGTCCATCTTGGCCTTGGTCTCGGGTTACAGTCCCTTTGCTTATTTTTATTTTCCATGGATGAAAGTATAATGTACAAACATATGAATTTAAGAACAAGTTTCAGTTTTAAATTTTCTTAAAATATAATTATTAATTACGTAAGTTTATTTAAAAAATTTAACTTGGTGAAAAGGCGGTTAAACAACGTGAGTCACCGTACTTTTTATACATATGTAGATTGTATTTTGCAATTATTTTACACAAAAAACAACAATAATTTATTTAGAGGTGTTAACTAATTTTTTATTGTTTCCTTGCCATAAAAAGATTCAAACAAGGCAAGCATTTATTATTAGACTTCATTCTGTACACAAATTACTAACTTAATCATGAGTGTCTGAAAACTTTCCCAACAAGGAGTAAAGGAAAACTTCTAACCAAATACCGAAATAAAAGCAAGTCTAACACATTAGAAATCTAAATTGACTTTGTCTATGCAAATATGTATGTTTTTATGACGACGCGCCGCCCACCACCCGCACTCCTGCGCAGCAAACGCCTACAACTTAACGAACAAATATTCACACATACATATGTACACAAAGTATTTGCGTTAAACCGTCAGCAAGTAAAGTTTTCCGATGATGGCAGCATTTAAGCGCTCATAATTAACTTGGCGGCCACCAAGTAAAGACAAGAAATCAAAAAATTCATGAACCATGAAAAAAATAACAACAAATTTAGACATAAACAGTCAAAAAACGTGCACTAAAATTCAGCGCCAAAAGCTCGTGAAAGCGGAAAATTATAAAAAATGTAAAAAGCAATAAAAAAAACTAACAAAGGTTTGAAAAAAGTCGAAACAATAGACTACTTGTGTACAAGATGCAAATAGAGCAATGGTGAAGGGAAAATATTGGCCAAAAGGAAGGGAAACACAAACAAGAATACTAAACAAATAAATTTTATTTATACAATTTTTGTAAATTTCACGTAGGATGTGCAGTTGCGTGTGGAAAAATTGCAGTGATCTAAAACATACTGGATATGTAGATTAAACAAAAAAATGTTTTTATTGGACTTTTGCACAACTCCAACGTTGCTTAACAAACAGAATATTCTCTCAAAGAATCGTAGTTTTTCCTTTGGTCTTCGAACGAAAAGGCATTTTTAGCTTTGTTGTTGCTTTGTCGGCAAGCCTCAAACCGAGAAAGCGGACGGCATCGATGGGCACAGTCCATAGTGCTTTCAGTGTCAGGTTCGTCGGGCGCTACAAGTGCATGGGAAGAGATGTTGGGTGACGAAAGCTCTATAATGGTATTCATTTCCTTTTAAATTTTAAATCTTTTCGATAACAAATATAAAGTTTCTTAAATTTAAGGACCCGTTTTATGGCCAGATTCACATTCACTACTTGTGGACTACTTTGATTGCGAACAAAGCTGTATGTTCTATTGTAGGAATTTTTTGTTTGTTTTTGTTTTCATGTGCTGCTTTCATTTTTGACATTGTTTCTTGTTCTGACGTCGCCACCCGCCAACCGCCCACCACACTGTGTCATTAGTTTCTCGCTTACTTTTGCTTTTGTTTC